TATGCTAAGCCACCTGGAGCTGGGCTGGAGTGTAGGGTGGGAGGTTCTGTAGCTTTATATGCGAATCCTCAGCCGTTGCATTTAAAGGACTGGAGTATCCTCAGGCTTGGGGATCCCAGAGGGTTCCTGGGACCAATCCCCCTTAGACACACAGGGCAACTGGATCCACCTATTGAAGGTCTAGAAACTACTTTTAGTGTAAAATCTCTTGATTTTTTCATTTCACTACCAACTCATTTTCAGAAAACTGTGCAGGCCAAAGCCAACTTGGAGAATCACACATGACTCTCAGTTCCCTAAGTGGACGTCCATCCTCGGACTGATGTTCCAGGGAGATTCAACAGGACAATGTCCTCCACAAGGTGTCACTTGGCAGGAGYGGGACCTGCTTCAGGTGTGTCTGCCACTGACCTTCCCCAGGAACCTGACAGGCAGGTCTGGGAAGAATCTCTAAGAATTGGGACCTTGGTCCTCCGGGCAGTGGGCTGAGCTGGTAGAACCTTTCAGAGACAGGGCCTAGTGGGAGGTCCTTATGTCATAGAGGGAGTTGCCCCGGGAAGGGATTAAGGTGGTGCTCTGGGACACCGAGTTAGCACTCACAAGAGAGCTGTTATAAGAAGCAAGCCCAGCCCCGCCCCTCTCTGGCTTCCTGTCTTGTCATGACCTCCTCCCGCACAGGATCTGGCCGTCATGCCACTTTCTGTGCAGTCTTCACCAGGGCGAGTGGATGCCAGCACCCATGCTCTTAAACTTTCAGAACCATGAGCAAAAGAAACTCTTTTCTTCATAAAGCACCTAGCCTCAGGTATTTAGTTACAGTAACAGAAAATGGACTAATACAGTTGCCTAAAACATGGAAAAAGTCTTCACAGATGCGCTGAGACATGAAGGATCTGGAGATGGGAGATGGTCTTGGATTATCTGGGTGGGCCCTAAGTGTTATCACATGTCTCTCTGCTTCCTGGTGGCCATGTCCTGAGCTATCTTCTTCCTCTGCCACATTCTCCTGCCATGAGGTTCTGCCTCACCTTGGGCCCAGAGGTCTGGAGCTGGCTGATCATGGGCTGAACCTCTGAAACGATGAGCCCCAATAAATTTTTCCTCCTCTACGTGACTCCTGACAGGTCTTTTGGTCACAGTGACAAAAATAAAATTAAAAAATAACAAAACTGACTAAAACACCTTACAAGAGGTCAGAGGGCAGAGGGCGATTGGACTATGACCTCTAGAAGGAGGAGGGGCTAGGATCACGAAGCAGGAGGCTTTGAGGCTGGAGGATGGGGCCACAGGAGCCTGGGAATGTGAAAAATGTAAATCTAGAAGCTGGGAAGGGCCTGGATCCCCAGGAGGGAAGCCGCCTCACTGGGGTCCTGATGTGATTTCACCCCAGGGAGCCCCCCGTCCGGCTCCAGTCTCCCAGTCTATGAGCGCCTACGGGTGCCTCTGAGATTGGGTACTTCGTGGTAATAGCTATGGCTGGCTGATATGGTGAGCCAGTGGGGACAGGGGTGGGGACAGGATGGCCCCACCCACGTGTCCAACCTCACCGTCCACCCCCTCCCCTAGTCACTAAAACTCGAGCCCCTCAGACCTTCTTTCAGTTCCTGGAACATCCCGACTGGGGCCTGCCTCAGGACCTTTGCATCAKCTGCTGTGCCCTCTGCCGGGAACACCCTTCCCTAGATTCCACACGGTGGGCCCCTTCCTCCCTTCTCGGACCCCTGATCTAATGTTCCACCCAGCCCCAAGCCACTTCCTTTCCAGTCACTCTTTGATTTCCTCCACAGCACGAATCTCTTTCTAAAATGATTGCAAGCGTCTGTTGTTTTCTCCTTCCTTTCTTGTCTCATATGGCCCTGGGGGTGGGGGGGGGTCAGGGGCAGAGGGTCATCCCTGGGTGCCCAGTGCTCTGAAGAGGATGGGGGCGGAACGGAGGCTCCTTGCACGGAGGACAGTCAGAAGCCCCCCGTTGCAGGCAAATTTGGGGGTGGGCGGGCAGGTGGGCTGATCCCAGGGCTCTTCCCAAGAACGCAGGGTCCAGCTGACCGGACAGCAGGGACATCCAGAAGGGGGACGACGGCCTTAGACGGAGGATAGAAGGACGATGGAGGGCCCTTCCCTGACCCAGGGAGGCCCTGCTCCACGTCTCGAGGGACACCAGGTCTCAGGCGTCTCCATCTGCTCCAGCCAGGGCTACCTGCTTTGGAAGGACTCTGAGAAAATCCCCTGATCTCCTCAGAAACTGCCTGGCCAGCCGCTGYGTGCACTGAGGCCGACACACCATCCACCAAGCCGGCCGAGGTCAAGGGCATGGGCTGGGGGCAAGTCTGGGCTTTGTCACCTGTTAGCTGCGTGACCTGGGACAAGTGACTATACCTCTCTGAGGCTTGGTTTCTGCATCAGGAGGATGGCAGGAGCACCGTCAAGAGCAAAGGACATAATTGACAAAAGGACTTTAGCACGGGGCCGGCCTTCCTCTCACCCCCACAATGAGGTGGATTCTCTGGGCCTGACACTGCTTCCATTCCTTTAGCGGCCCCCTCCTGCCTCCTTCCCCTGTAACTCTGGACACTTGCAGGGAAACTTCTGGGTAGAATCAGGGCAGCACCCTGGGGCTGGGGCTGTGTGACTCTGGAGAAGTGACTTCACCTCTCTGAGCCTCAGGTACCTCGTTGAGAAGAGTGAGCCGAAGCCACACGTCCTATTTATTCACACAGTCTCTGAAGAAGGTACGCCGTCACTGACCAAGTGCCCCGCGAGGGGGGACAGTGATCAGAATGCAGGGCGAGGCTGACCTGCCGGTCCAGATGGACGCGGGGCCGGGGACCTTGGCCTCCTTCGCACCCTCCTTGAGGGCAGCAAGCCCAGTAACCTGGATATCCTCCGACAAGCAGCCTTTTAAAGTGACCGCTCCTAAGGACCAAAGGTGCCAGAGGACCCGGGTTTAAGCCTCTCCTCCTCCCCACCCGCCACAGACTGGGGATGCCCTGGACCTGMGGCTCTGGGCTTGGTGGGCCTCACTGTCACCCAGGCCAGCTGGTGACCGTTCCTCCAGCGTCCAGATGCCAGTGCCAATCCCCACCCCAGACACATCCTGGATGGGGGGACCCTTGGTTGGGAGGAAGAGAATTTGGGGGCAGCTATGAGCATCTGGGAGCTTGAATGTCCCCAGGCCTGCCAGCCCCGAGAGTGACCCCGAATACAGCCTGCTTGGCAACTGGACAGGGGGAGAGGCAGCCCCAGGGACAAACCCACCCAAGGCAGGCAAGTCCGATGGCCCCAGGACCTTTGGACCTTCCCACAGATAAAAAGCAGGCGGAGATCCCAGCTCTGTCTCCTGCACGAATAGGGCTTCTAAAATAGCCTTGAGTCCCCCACGCTGGGTAGACCAAGGAAAGACGGATGGACGCATTGTGTCAGGAGGACGCGTTCACCGTGTCGGGAACCGCGTCGCCTTGGCAATCCAGCTGGTGGCACTGGAGTGGCCAAAACAACACACCTGTGCCCCTGGATGCTGGACGCTTATCGCGTTTGCAGCCATCCCCYGGAGACGCCCCAAGGACCGGGGACAGGCGCTTTCTCGGGAGCCACTTAAAGCTCTCTCTGTGGTGGAGCTGGGAACTCCACTGATGCAAACCCCATCAAGTGTGGGGGGCGGCACTGTCCCCAAGCAGCTTCCCAGAGTAGAGGGGGGCACTTACAAAACGCCACGCCCCAGGGGCGGAGGAGCTGTCCTGAGGCCACTCTGCCTTACGGTGCTCCCCCAGCAGCCTCCCTGGGCCCCGGACCTCTGGGGACTTCCTCTCAAACCTCCCCTCCTCCAAAGTAGGTCGAGTTGGGGGCAGAGGGAGGGCCGAGGCGGACGCCGTAGGCTGGGAGCTGGCCCAGCCTCCTCCTTGGGGAATCAAAGCAGGAGGGGGCTCCCCTGGGTGGTGCTCGGAGGGGCTCCTGGGGGCTCCCCGAGGGCCCTGCACATGGCTGAGGACGTCCAGCCTGGCGTGCTGGGTCTCTGTGCCCCTGGCTGGGGAGGGTCCATCAGCAGGATCCTGGGGGGCCTCACGTCACACAGGGTGGCTCAGGCAGGTCCAGGTGTGGCTGAGGTAGAGCCCCCAGGAATCCTGGTAGTCACCCCCGGGATCACGGTCAAGGGTACGGGACACTGGACGCAGCGGGGGTCAGCTGCCTGTAGGCGGGAGGCTGTGCCCACGCAAGCCGCATCCCGTCCAGTGGTCTCCGTGTTGAGGACCAAGGAGGGTCAGTGAGCCCGGGAGGTGGGGGTTGTGCCCAGACCACACTCTCCAGGGTCTTCCAGGAAACAAGGGGACACCCACGTTCCAGATCTTGCAGCTGCTTTAGGACGTGAGTCCACCCACTCAGACTCAGACCCCTCAAGGCCTCAGTGGGCGGTTCCCGTGGGTCAGCTCTGCAGGGGCCCAGGAAGCGGCAGTTCCTGGGCTCCAGCCTAAGAGGCCCCCTGTGCTCACCCCAGGGAACCAGGAGAACCCTGAGGACCGATCCTGGCCACTGGCTCTGGGAGTGACGTCCAGGACCACAGGAGCCCCCAAGCATCTGCCCATCAGAAGGGTCCCGCTCCACCCCATGAGTGGGTCCGAGACTTCCTGCCTTCCTTCTCCTGGAGACTAAACKTTCCAAGGACACACAGTGTCCCCACATCACATGTGACACATGGATCACCCAAAACACCTCCTTCCAGGGGTCCCGGAGGATTCTGCAGGATGGAGATGGGGAGACAGTAGTCCCCGAGCCGGGGTCACGGGTGGGCTCTGGGTCTCGCGGCGAGAGCCACAGCCTAGGCCCGCGCACCTTTTGTCATCACGGTTTTCGGGGTTCAAGGGTGGTCACGTGGGGGTAGGTTCAGGTGTGGGGATAGCTCAGGCTGCCTCTGGGCTGCGAGGTTGAGTCTCAGGGACTGCACACGCCCTTGCACACACRCGTGCACACATGCACACACACACACTCCGGCGCGCCTGGGGGCTTACCTGTCCACCTGGACGCCTGTGTCTCTCGTCTCCGCCTTGGCAGGTGCCCCTCGCTCGGCCCCTGGGCGGCCGCTGGTGAGAAGGCTCAGCACAGGCTCGATCTCTCTGAGCAGTTCGTTCTGCTCCGGGCCGCCCTGGGGGCCAGMCTTGCTGCTTTTCTTGGCCAGGTCCTGGCTCGGGGGCCTGGGGGCCAGGCCGTTGGCTTGGGGCAGCGAGCCGGCTTCCGGCCCCTCGTCCTGGGCCTGCTGAGGCCCGTTCCCGGGGCCCGGGGGCCCACCCGCGGCGGGCAGCTGCTCTTTGCTGGCTGAGGGCTGCTGGGACAGATCGACAGCTTTGGTGGGAGGTCCCAGGGGCTGTGTCACCCGGATGGTCTTGGGGGTCCCATCCCCGGTGAAGGTGGTCTCCAGGTGCGTGGTAAAGCCCTCGGGACCCCTCAGAATGAGGACCACGTGGGTCTCGGAGGCAATGCCSCGGAGCACCTCCAGGGCGCTGTCATAGCTGAGGTCCACCAGGGGCCGGCCGTTGACGGCGAGGATGATGTCCCCCGCCTGGACCAGGCCACTCTGCTCGGCGGCTCCCCCGCGAATCAGGTCCGAGATGATGACGGGGGGCTTGCTGACGCGCTCCTTCACCAGGAACCCCAGGCCCCCGACTTTGCGCTTGAAGAGGCGGACGGAGATGACATTGGGCTGGATCTGCTGAACCCCGAACATGTGCTCCTCCATGGCGCCTGGCCTCCGAGGGTCCAYCCTGAAGACCCCGAAGCCTATCCAGCCGAGACGGATCCTCCAGGAGGGGCCAGGACGCGGCTCTGCCGAGAGAGGAGCCGGGGACACAGTGGCCCAGAGGTTTCAGCCTCCGCCGTCTCTGACGTCAACGCTGCGTCACCGGCTCATTGCCGGGTGGCCGTCGGTGGCATGATTTCCTGCGTCTGCCCACCCCCCGCCTTGTCCTCTCAGGAGGCTGACAGCAGACAGACGTCAGGAGAGCGGTGGGACGTGTCCCCGAGCCACAGGTCGGCAGGCCGGGGAGGAGCGTCTGGGGGTGTCTAGAGGTGGCGCGTGATGGCTGTGGGCTCTTCCCTGGGCATCGTGGTCAGCGGCTTGTTAGATGCAGATGAGATCGGGGACTTCCGGAGCTGAAGAGAGGGGACAAGGGCATGAATGGAGGGAAGGGAGACGAGAGATAGAGGGACCACCCCACCCCACCTTCAAGACGAGGGTGACAACGCAGACCAGCGTCCAGTCTAGCCCAGACACCTGGGGCTCTGAAGCCCACCTAGAGGTGGAACCTCGGTCCTCGAGGGGACAGTCCCCTCATGAGCCGCAAGCCGTCTGGTTTCACCTCCAAGATGGAAGCCCTCAGCCACCCGAGGGTCTCCTTGGGGGGAATCGGGGACAGTCAGAAAGCAGATGGGAAGACTCACAGGACCTCCCTTATCTCCGTCCCCTCCAACTTACCACGTGGCTGTCAGCATAGCCCAGGAGCTYGGCGGCCGGGGCTCTCTGGCCCCTCATTCCAGCCCTTCCACAAACCCCCCACCCCCACAAACCCACCCGAAGAAGAAGGATACCACCTCCCACGGACCCAGGGACAGGGATGCCAGCCGACCTTTGGGACCATTTTTATAATTCTTAGCTTGTTGTAAGTTGAAAAACGGAGACGTGACCCTATTAAAACACCATCAGTCCCCAAGGCGCAGGTCCCCAGGAAACTCTGGAAGACCTCTGTGCCCCACAGACCAGAGAAACATGAGAAGGGCTGATGTAACCCTGGGGATCTCGGGACACATCTCAGCGCTCCAAGAATCCTCGCTGATTGAGGAAGAAAACCAACCCCCCCCCAAGATGAACTCCGATGGCAGCTCCTGCACTGACGCTCCTGACCTGAGTCAGTTCCTATTCTGACCCCCGTGATCGCCCCTCCATAGATGTGCAAGCCGAAGCCCGAGGGGGGTTCAGGTCTTTGTTCAGGGCCACTCAGGGGACGGCGGCGGAGGGAGGGTKGGAAATCGGGCACCTCACCCTGGAGCCTGAGCTCTGAGACTTATATGCTAATTATTTTAAACAGACTTTCTAATTATTCTCTCAAGTCCCGGTTTGGTTTCGCGCTTTGAAACACTGGCGATTTCCAAGTGAGGGATCCCCCTTGCTGAGCAGTGTGGGGTGTGGCCGGGGTACCCAGGGCTGCAGATGCCCTGGCTCAGGGGAGCACACCCCCCACCCCGTGGGGTGTCCACAGGGGGCTGCGTCTGTGGGTCTCCGTGTCCACGTGTGTTAGGGTTTAGACGTGAGGTGTCCCCCTCAGAGGCTCCCCTGTGAGATGGGGTGAGAAGGTTCGGGGCGAGCTGATTGGGTTGGGAGTCTCGACCTCCTCAGTGCAGGACTCCCCTCCAGACCCGGTACCCTTCTCCTCCTCTAMAATCGCTCACAGCCGTGGAAAAGGGCACTAAAGCCATGTGTCCACCGCCCCTTCTGGGCTGGGGCAGGAGATCTGTGGGGGGTTGGGGGCATCAGAAGGTCCCTTCGTCTCTTTCTCTACCCTCGAGCCCAGGTCTGGCTCCAGGCCACCCCCCTCCTGTGTGTGTCCTCACCACACTTTAGCACAAGCGGGGAGCCCCCATCTGCCACTACTAGCAAACTGACACACTTGGTTCCCTTTAAGCRACTTGCAGGGGTCACCCCAGGGCTAAGGCACTGACGGATAAACTCCTATCACCTCCGAGAGCAGAGGTGGGTGCAGAGACCCCCACCCCCAGAGGAGGTGGCCTTTCCTGGAGGGAGGTGGCTAGCTCGGCCGCAGAGAGCATTACATTACGTAACCCGCTGGCCCGTGTGGGCGAGGAGTGGCGCGTCCCCGGGCCCAGCCACCTCCATCTGGCGTCCTGTGTGTGGCTCTGTGTGTATTCATGCGTCGCCCTCACACTGTGTCCCTCGTCGGCTGTGTGTGGCCGTGTGTCCACCAGCGGAGTGTCTTTCAGCCTCTTTCTGCCAGGGCTCTGGTGTGCAGGGAAGACACCCCGCGTCACCGTGCCCTTCTCCCCTGGAGGGTCCCCCACCCTCTCCTCCTTCCTGAGTTCTCCTCCCGGGGACCGAATCCAAGATGCTGGCTGCTTAGTGGGGACAGAGACAGCGGGGACCTCGGGGGCGCTCAGGTGTTCGTGTTGGACACTGGGCTCTATTCTTTAAGGAAAAAAAGAATTTGAAGGTGGGTTTTTTTTTGGGGGGGGTGTAGGGAGAGGGGCAAGACACCTAAGCCTATTTCCTCCACTTGCTGGATTGGGTCAGACCTCAACAGGGACAGCGATTGGACTTGGCCTTCTGTGTCCTTGGCTTTGGAAAAGAGAAAACAGAAATCAAGCAACCCACGCTCGGCTTGTCCGAGCTACTCTAGAATCGGGCTGGGCTCTTGGCTGGTGCTTGGGACATGGGGTTGCTGTTGACCTCTCAGGTCTTGGCACTAGGAGAGGGAGTCGATCCTCTGGGAAACTGGGGAAGATGCTGGAGTTGGAGAGTCAGGGATATTCAGTGTCTGCACATGTGCACCCCACACACACGCACACACACGCACACACGCACACACACGCACAAACACGCACACACACGCACACACACGCACACCCCACAATCTGACCTATGAATTCTGAGTGCTCCCCATTTCTCAGTGACAATTCCACAATACTCCGTGTCTCTTCTTCATGTTTCAATCTCATCCTGACCACCGTCAGGGTCGGCGGTGCCCATCATCCAGATCCATCCACCAAGCTGCTCCAGGTCACCCCCATGATCCCGGTTGGTGGATGCCTGGGACCCGGGAGCCTTCTTGGGCCTCCGTCCAGCCACCAGGAGGCTTTGCCAGGTCCTTCCTGGCTGTCTCTGTCTCTGGGTGAGCTCTCTATCTGCTCCCCCCTGCCCATCGATTTGCTTATCTGTAAAATGGGGCCATCGGCAGTGACCRCTTATCTGGGGAACTGGGAGGATTCAAAGAAAGCCCCCAAACGCAGGAAACATGGCGACGTCACAGAGTCAACACGGAGAGAAGCGGTTTCCTGTGATTGTTAGGAGAGATGAGGTGACCTGGGCTTCCTGGGTTTCATTCCTGTCACTTTCTGCTCCACTATGGTCTGCAGGGGGATCTTGCCCTGGAAGTCACACAAAGGAATCTCACCTCGGTCTCACCTTGGGGGCGGTCACCCACCACAGGTGACGAAGCTGGCTAGAACCGCCTGCCAACCCGGCCTCCGCTTCTGGAGCTGGGATTTTCAACAAACCCCAGGCGCACGCCAGAGTATCTACCATGGAAACAATCCTTGGCCCCGAGCCTCATTGGAGTACTTCAGCGGATTCGGGTATATTTATTTCACTTACCTTCCTGCGAGGAAATGAGTGGCTGTGGAGGGGCGGGGGGATAAGTGCCAGTGGAAAGACAGGACCCAAACAGGCCAGCGCCTGATGAGACCTCCTTGCTGTGTGACCCTGGGCATGCCATCGYCCACTCTGGGCCTCCTTTCTGTAAGTGGGGAGCTACCAGCATTTTTGAGTGCTGTTGAGTTCACTGTGGGCTGAACTTGGGGCCAGGGGTGTCTGATGGAAGCCTGGAGGTTCAGCGATGTACACTGAGGAAATTGGTGGCCCAGGTCTCCACGAGTAGATGCTGAGGGTCCCTTCCCATTGTCAACCGTCATCCTGATGGCGATCCATGGCACTGGGCCCCCCTCCCTCCTCCCTCCCTCCCTCCCTCGCCTCCCCAAAGTGCTTCCGCATCTGCTGCTCCGTTTTTCATCCTCACCCACACTCGGTGGCTCCTCGTTTCACAGATGAGGAGATTAAGCCTCTCTGGGACACCCGCTCGTCCTGGTTTGTCAGGGCTTTCCATTTCTAGCACCGAAAGCCGGATGAAGATTAGGACGAAGGGAAGCCGCTGAGATCCCCTGGACCGGCTTCCTCGGTCCAACACGAGGAACAGAGGCCTGGAGGACCGAGGGGCTCCCTCCACGTGGACCCGCTGCACCTCCGTGGCCCAGAGCCRCGAGGTCCAATATGGCGGCCACTGGCCCCAGGAGACCACGGAGCCCCCTCTGCTGGGACTGGGGCAGCCGACGGTGGTTGAGAGGCACTGTAAGGGCTCGGCTCTCAAAGATCAGTGTGAGGAAAAGAGTGGGAAAAGTTTTCAGGTCTTGATGCCAGGCTGAAATGACACACTGCTCGGGGACACACGGGGCTAAGCAGAATTTTGTGTGGAAAAAAAAAATGGATTTCCCTCGTCCTTGATTTTTTTAGTTCTGGGCCTCAGGCCCGTAGGCAAGTGCTCTCCCACTGAGCCGCCCCCACGTCCTCACCTTCTACTCTTGATTGTGGCTGCTGTAGAAGTGAACCCTACACCGTGGGCTACACGGGGACTATGGGTCTTGCCTGGATTCTGCTGATTCCCCCAAGAATCTACGGATGACTTAGGCAAAGACACTTTATCAAGAGCTTTAGCTGCTAAAAACAAAACAAAACAAACCCCAAACAGAGAAATCACCAAAGAGGGTTGGCAAATGTCTGGACGCCTTGCCAAGTTGACCACTGGAACCGGGGAGGGTGGGTCGGTGAGGGAGGACACCCACCCAGAACCAGGTAAGGACAATCCCTRGACTAACGGTCCAGTACCCCAAATCCTGTCTCCCGGTGTCAGCTGAAATCTCACCCATCCTTGCGATGAACTGTGTCACTACAAAGCTGCATCTCTATGCACAGGTAAGGAATGAGTCCCCAGAGACACTAGAAGGTGGGGGGAAAAGGTGCCACAGGGAATTCTCCACCTGCACCTGCAGGGATTCTTCTGGAAGGAACGGATCTTAATGGTCGCACCTTACAGGGCCCATTGGGAGTCAGGAGGAGGAGGGGGGCTTGTTCTTGGTGCTGAACACCTTTGTTCTCCTTGAATCTCATGTAAATGACTTTCCTCATCACAGGTGCATTGCCTTTTCAACGAACAATATTCAAGAAAACAAAGCCCAGCCCGGGAACGCCGCGGTTTTCAGTTGCACACCCACAACCTTGCTCACGGCAGCGTGGCGGGGCCTGCTCCCCATCTCCCTCGGCTCTCCTTGAAAAGCAGGATCCGAGTCTTCAGAAACGAAACCCAGGAACGCCG